GCGGTGAATTTATAGCGGTCCGCAGTGATGCGTGATCCGTAAACCACAAAAGGTTCGTTGCCCAAGAGGTGCACCCGAAACTTTACAAGGGCATACTTAATTGAAAGTAGCTCCTTGTCATGCACAGGGTAATTCATCTCGGCAGCTTTAAAAAGCCGAGACTGATACGATATGACACGTTCAACGCCGTTGTCATCCTTTTGCATGAGTGCGCTGCCGATCGCAAAATTTCTTGCATCGCAGACGACACTAAAGGGCTTATCCGCGTCTGGAAATGCCAAGACCGGTGCCTCTACAAGAGATTTCTTCACTGATGTGAACGCATCTTCTTGCTCCTTTGACCAAATCCATTCTGTATCCTTTTTCAAAAGGTCAGACAATGGCTTAGTCTGCTCCGCATAATTCTTGCTGTACTTATGCAAGTAATTAGCGAGCCCAAGGAATTGGCTCGGATCCTTCACGTGTCTTGGGACTGGCCATTCCTTTACAGCCTTTACCTTTTCTGGTTCTGCTCGTACACCATATGCACCTACGATGTAGCCCAGTACAGGTATCTCGGGGACCCCTATTACGCACTTTTGCAAGTTAAAGTATAATTGAGCGTCACCCAGAGTCTGCAACACAGCGTCTAAATGACGCTTGTGCGACTCTATCGCGCTCAGACCGTCCTCCGCCCTACTATGCACGAATACATCGTCAAAGGAATGGGGCGCGTAGGCACGGTGCTGACGCATCACGTGAGCCACTAATCGATTGAATGTTACCGGAGCATTTTTCAACCCTTGTGGCATCACAAGCCACTCCCACAGCATACCGCTTGGGGTGCTTACTGCCATTTTGGCTACATCGGTATCTCGCATGAGAGCCTGATAGTAGCCATCCTTCAGATCCTACGCGGAAAAGATAGTTGACTTTCCCATGGAATTCAACAAAACATCTTTCCGCGGGATCGGCGTTTGAGCTGGAATGGTGGCCGTGTTCAGCTTATTATAAGCGTGAACCACGCGCCATCCACCTGTTGCTTTACGCACACAGAAGGTCGGGCTGCAGTGAGGCGACTTGCTCTCACGTACATGTCCCGCCTTAGCTCGCTTGTCGAAGAACTCATCGATGTAATCGACTTGTTCCTTCGGCAACGGCCATTGCCTGGTCACACAATACTTGGTGCCAGGCTCCAGGTCAATTTCATGCCTGATGCCCCTATCGGCCGGTAGGCGGCTCGGCACTTCTGCTGGAAACACATCACGGTGTTTCCACAGAACATCATAGAACGGGCTGTCCTTCAAGGCATCCCAGCCTTGAGCAGCGAACCGTTTCTTTTTGTCGGTCTCCAAGACACTCTCATCCATTGTGAATGAAGAACAACAGTCCACCACGTTCTCTTCTGGAACTGGTGCGACTATCTCGTGCTTTAGTTCGGACAGGAACAGATCCCACGTCATCTTCGAGAGATTTACTATCTCCTCGGCAGATGCCAAGACAAGTTGGAGCACCTCAACAGAGGATGCCTCCGGCATTTTGTCTTCGACGGCCTCGAACAACTCGTTCGTAGGTCCGTCCTCTTGGACCGAGACTGATCCAAGGGTCACTCGTTTCGACGTGCTCTTGATCGTCTTAATATGTCTGGTGCTCGTTCTTCGAGTCACCACGATCTTTGACCTGGAAGAAGGTGTCGTTGCTATCTCAGCTAACGCACTCCTTCCAACCGCAACAGGCTCTTGGCTCTGTGCCGGTTCTTGTGGCGCTTGACTTCCTGTCAGCCCACCATCAACTGCCACATGCTCTCGGCTCTGTGCAGGACTATTGGACGCATGACTACCTGTCATCGCCCCATTCACTACACCAGTCTCTTCGACCTGGGTAGGAATATGTGTCACCTGGCTTTCCGCCAGTGCACTTCCAACTACATCACTCCTTTCGAGCTGGATAGTTCCTGGTGTCGATTGACATACCGTCATCGCACCCTCGACTGTGTTGAACACAGCATCAGCCCCATAAGCCTCTCGCAAGAGCACATCCTTTCCGGTGTCTTGCGTAGAGCTAGCGACTGTGCGTGTACGCCAGTCTATCCATGGTTGATGTTTAGCCAACCAAGGCATGCCTAGGATGAGGTCATACGGACTCTCCATACCTAACACTGTGAACTTCTCTTTACAAGAGAAGTCACTGTAACTGAAGGCGAGTTCAACTTGAACTCCCTCCGATTTAACGAGCGCACCGTTCGCTAAACGAACGATCGCCTCTTCTCGCTTGCCATCCTGGCAAAGCGACTCATAACTCGCCGGTCTCTTTTTCAGAGCCGCGAGTTTCGCAAAGTTTTGTGATACACCCGAATCCACGAGAAGGTTCATCACTTGGTCATAGCCTCGTACTCGAGCGCTATAGACCAAAAAGGTTGAGTTCCGACCAATCGGAACCTCAGGGACTATGCTACCCATTTGTTCGATCACTCTGAACTTAGGGGTAGCTTCAGAGTCCGCGGCAGTAGGGCATCCCGCCCCTACTGCGCTCCCGCATTTCCCGACCCATCTTGGGAAGGTGCTGAACCCGTGCGTCGTGCACGCTGGTTTTTTGCACCTCCCTTCGGGTTGGGAGACCTTTTGCTGGCTGCCTTAGCACCAGCAGCTACTTTGGCATAGCAGCGAGCCATCACATGGCCTCGCTTGCCGCACTTGTAGCAGATCACATCTGCATTTCCTAACTCCATAGGAGTGGCATCAGAACTTTCGGCCGACGGCCTGTAATAGGCTGTCGCCGAGGCGCTGTTGTAGGATTGCTCCTCAACTAAGGCAATGTCAATTGCCTCTTCCATCGTCGCTGGCACCTTTCTAAAAAAGGGCCTGACGCGATGGGCCGTGCCTAAGTCCATTAATGAACGTGGCCACCTTGATACGCTCTGGTATCTGTTCCCCATTAATGAAAGCCGACAGCGAACGCATCTCCTGCACAAATTCTTGCAGAGAGCGTTTCGCCTGTCGTGCTCCAAAGAAGCTAACACTTCATTGTTAGGCGGCTGATACATGGCACGAATATTTGCCTTAAAGATCGCCCATGATGGAAATGCATCAGCATTAGCCATCAGCGCAGAGTACGCCCACTCTGACGATTTGTCACGCAAATTGGACATACCATTCTGGTGTCGTCTTCGATGAGCTGCACCACTCCACATTGCTCAACTGCTAATGGCCAGTGAACAATCGTGTGAGGGCTAGTCCCATCAAACTTCGGAGGGTCCATCTGAATGGGCCTCGGTTGAGTAGGCCGGGCAGAGAGCGTCTCAACAGCTCTGTTGAGCGCCTCATTACGTGCCTGCTCAAGCCTAAGCTCATCCTGAGTCTTAGTGATGGACTCAGCGGTAGCTTGGCTGTTTACCTCGGACGCGTTTCTACGCTGTCCGAGCACAAACGCCTCATTTTTCTCCATTTGAGCAACATGTTGCTCAGGAGGACAATGCAAGAGGTTGACCAGGGCTTGTTCACCAAGTCCCTGCGCCATATGCTCTGCCAACTCCCTATGATGTTGGGAGAGGTGAGGGAAGTCACTCCAGTCCATATTAAGGACCATCTTAACCACACGCACGCTCAGAGAGACGGGTCGTGGGAAGGACTACTAGTGCTACCAAGTGCAGACGGGCACTTCTACGAAGTTGCTTCGTGCTACTAGCACACACCTTCAGCACAAGCGAGGAAGCAGTTAGACCGTCTTACCTTCGCGTGCGAGGGTGGTTATGCGGTTGGTCGACTGCTTAAGCAGTCGTACCACCAGTTGCCTCTCGCTTAAGCGAGAGTGCAACGAACTTCTAAGACAAGAAGACACCGACGTCACGCAGAAGCTTTTCAGCTTCTCGTGCGTGGTGCTTCGGTGTTTAGCAAATTCAAGACTGAGCTATATTTAATTAATTATAACTAAATATATACTTAACTACTGATTGGCTATATATGTATATATATATAGATTGGATACGCGACTCTTTAGAAGCGTATCCTGTCGCATGAACTTAAATCTAGATTTAAGATCGCAACTGACGTCTTTCTGAGACGTCGCGATGCCTAGCTTCAACTAGCGTCATCCCTACCCATGTGAATCCATAAATGGATAATCACGTTCACGAGGGTGGATCACGTTTGTGTATCGCACCCAAGTGACAGGTCAAAAGTAATCATGGATACTTTTAGACCAAACATTAAGTATGTTACTTAATGTTTACGTGTAACTAGATGCCCTGTTACACTATCAATCTTCACTGATCGGTGTTTATATTTAAAAAGATGAAAATGTGGATGGCTTGGACTGTTACGAGTGTATCCGCGCTCGCGTCTTCTTGACTGTGTTGGACTCTATGGATGTAGTTGTGGACAGTGGACTCGTACTAGTCGATAATGTACATCTTTTGGCTTTGTTCATGGACACTTTTTCACTGAATTTGTTCGATTTGTATGCTGAATATCACTGTTTCAGTAGACTCTACCTCTGTTACAAGTACACTCATCTTTGAATTTGTAGCAGACCTTTATCCTTCACGGTGTATTCGAGCGAGCAAATTCTCTAAACAAGTTCATTTCCGTGTCTTTGTGGCCGATCTCAGTCGTCACAAGCGTGGAAATTAACATCACATCCTACTCACGACTTAGGGACTTGGCATCAAGTCATGTAGTCTAAGTGAGGATATTTTCTAAATAAGCTCAGGTTGTACGACGGCATTTACTTGCACTAAAATCACCGATACCTTCGCAAATTTCGTGGTGGTAGATGTATTCTTGTCTGTGATAATTTACATCTCGTGGTGAATTTAATACAATAACTTTTTTTGGTCAATGACTTATAACATTTAACCTAGTGTTATTTTTCTCTATGCAAAGTAATCCATTCTCTCATCGTACTTTACACGAGTAAAATATCAGGTTGAAGGGGCGCACATGAGAATCTTTTCTGGTCTCGATCCTTATTATTACAACCGATCACGTAAACACAAAGCTACCTCGTGTCTATAACGTTGAGCAATGTCCGTGTCCCCTCAAGATCAAGTGGATTATTTGCGATCCCTTCCGTCCATACGTGACGGTTGTCACCGTGTCTTGAGGCTCGCAAAAGAAGACAAAGTACCTCATTTTTCAGTGGTCGAGACGAAAATTCCGGCTTTGGCTGATTACGTCATCGAGGTGATTCGCCAGTCGTATCCGACTCCAAACGAGGCCAAAGTTCCATTTCATTCGCGCTGGCGTCACTTTGAGACGGGCAATCCACATCGCGTGGAAAAGATGACGTCAACATGGGATTGCGACCAGTTGGAAAAAGCTCGACGGTTACTGGACTTGGCACTAGTCAGTGTCTTACTGGACGCAGGCGCTGGCTCTCTATGGCAATTCAAAGAGCCAGACACGGAAGACGTTTATAGTCGGAGTGAAGGGTTAGGGATCGCAAGTTTCCATATGTTTCTCGACGGAAACTTCTCGGACAATCGAACGAAAGATCCGCATCGAGTGGACGCTAAAGCTCTGACTCATCTGTCCGATGACGCAATCATTAAAGCGTTTCAAGTGGTAAGTATCTTTTTTTGTTTTTATAGTTATTTTTATAGTATGGTATATTTATTTTTTATCAAAATTAAATAATGTTGGAGCAGACAGAAGGAAATCCATTGGTGGGATGTGCTGGAAGAACGGATCTACTCAAGGTTGATTATTGTACTTTAAATTGTTTTGTTTGCGGATTTTAATCGATACTATTTGATTTGATATGATAATGTAGCGTCTGGGCAAGAGCATTACCAACTATCCAGAATTTTTCATGGGGACGGACGGATCGATACGACCGGGAAATATGGTGGACTACCTGATGAAACGTCAGAATACCGATGGAGAAATATCCATTACGGATCTCTGGAAAGTCGTGCTGCATGGACTGCAGGATATTTGGCCCGAGAGCCGAACACGTATTGGAGGTCAGAACATGGGCGACGTGTGGGAGTTGTCGTACGTGTACCGGTGTAAGTTTATTGAGTACGAGGCCATGTAACATTGACATGAGTCTTGTGGATTTTTGTATCAGTTATTTGCCGGAACATGAGAAAGCGGGCAAATCTGTGAGTTTTCACAAGCTGTCGCAGTGGTTAACGTACTCTCTGATGGAACCGCTTCAGGATGCCGGGTTCGAAATCACAGACCTCAAGCTAATGACTGGTAGGAGTTAGCTTCGATACAATTTGTTTTGCCTCGATGTTTTTAATTTTCTGGATACTGATTCATGACTTGTTAGGTTTGCCCGAGTATCGCAATGGAGGGCTTTTGGTGGACTTTGGTGTGCTGGTACCAAAGTCTTCTAACATTTTAACAGACGAGTTCGACCCAAGCACCGAAGTAATCATCGAGTGGCGAGCTCTTACTGTCGCAATCTTGGACGAGCTGCACAAGGTGATTTTGCAGAAACTTGACTTCTCTGCCGATTTCTTTCCGCTTGTCAAGGTATTCTAGCAAATCCATTTCTGTGCTGTCTGAGGAATTTGTTGAACTGTCAAACGACAATTTTTGTTTGTTTGTATATAAGTAGATGCTCGAAGGGGGAAGCTGGAAAGCTGGACGAGTTATTGCGAAGGAGAAACGCACCGACGGTGGTCCTCCCATCAAGATCAAAAGCGATGGCACTGTCTTCTAAGCCCTCTCTTATTGTCAGGATTGCATCCAGGCTAATAACTCGTGATTATATCCAGAGTTGTTAAAAAGGTAGTGGTGGACGGTGTTGTGACCACATACTGAGTAGCGTGCGATGCTCTCGATGTATCAATGTGCACGCCAGTATACTACAGCTGTAGCTCTTGGGCGAAGTGACAGGCTAAACGCCATCTTTCGGCCGTATCATGCAGCACATAAGATACTCTATATGTTGCAACTCCAAGGTCATAGGACTATTTTCATCATTTTTGACCTGTATCTCTGCTGTACTTACAACCACAGCTACGTTCCCTACGATAAGAGTTGTTGCAGCCCGAATCTCTTCGCTAAGCTACATGTCATCACTATTAAATCCAAGAAACACTCTGTCAGCAGCACATTTGCAATTTTTTAAATGCGGGGTCATCCAAGCAACAATGTCCTGTTGTAATATGTCTTACAACTAGCTTGCACCTGGTATGCAGATGCATGTCGGTCTGTTCGTGTACAGCTGAAGCTTGTACTCTGCTTACTGCTTACACGCCGGGGCGGGGCGCGCCGGTTCTGGCGACAACACAATCTTGTCCTTAATCATTCCCCACGGTGCCATGGTCACGAGCTCCTCAGAAGCCGTAGGGTGGATAGCCACAATGTTGTCAAAGTCCGCCTTAGTGGCGTTCATCTTGACTGCCACACCAAAGCCCTGGATCATCTCGTCCGCTCCCTCGCCAGCAACGTGCACACCCACGACAGTCTCCTTCTCACCCACAGTCACCAGTTTCATGGCCGTCTTGCCTTTGTGCTCTGGGTCCGCCATCGCGTGAAGCAGGTTCACAAACTTACTCGTGTACACCTTGACATTTTCTTTACCATACTTCTCAAGAGCTTCTGACTCCGTGTATCCAATCGTGCCAATAGGTGGGTGGCTAAAGATTACCGTCGGGATCTGATGATAGTTAAGGCACGCGTCCTTCTCACCGCCAAATAGACGGTCGGCTAGACGACGGCCTGCAGCAATAGCCACTGGCGTGAGCTCCCAGCCAGTCACCGTGACGTCACCAATAGCGTACACTCCAGGCACCGATGTGTTTTCCTGTGCGTCCACCTCAATGAAACCACCTTGTGCAAGCTTAACACCAACTTTTTCCAGCCCAAGGTCTTTGGTGCGTGGTACACGGCCAACAGCATATAGGATCGTATCAAAGTTTGCAAACTTGTGTTCTTGTCCATCAATATCAACCACCAACGTGAGTTTGCTGTCGTCCTGTTTCTCGACACGATTTGCACTCATATGACGTACAAATTTGACACCTGATTTCTCCATTTCTTCATTCACGAGATCACGAACAATGGAATCAAATTTACGAAGCACTTGATCATGACGACAAAAGATCGTCGTATCACTCTTTAGTGCATTAAATATTCCCGCCATTTCCACAGCAATGTACCCAGCACCAACAACTGCCACTTTCTTTGGCTGCTTCTCAAGTCGGAAAAAGTCATCACTGTCAATCACGTACTCTTTTCCCGGAAAATCCGGGATTGTAGGAACACCACCGGGTGCTACTAGCACATGTTTGCCCGTAAAGATCTTGTCAGCCACTTGAATCTTATCTGTAGCCACAAATGTAGCAATTCCTTGTACATAATCGACTTGAGCTTTGTCTAAATTACGTTCATATATGCCATTAAGACGTGTAATGTAAGCGTCACGTTTGGTCTTCATTTTCGTCCAATCAAAATCACCAACTGAAAAATCTTTCAAATTAATGCAGTAATCTTTAGCGCGATTTAAGTGTTCCACATGAGCAGCTGTATTAAACATCACCTTTTTGGGTACACACCCAAAATTGACACATGTACCGCCTAAACCCATCCCATTGTATTCACGACCACGTTCAATGACAAGCACTTTGGCGCCATATGTAGCGGCTCGACGGGCTGAAGCCATGCCGCCACTACCACCGCCAATAACAATGTAATCATACACAATGTCAGTACTCATGGGTCTTTGGTTGGGATGGGGGATCGATGAGGATTACGATGAGGGGGGATTTTGTAATTGTGAGCTAATTCCTCGATCTTAATTAGACTTGAGATTTCTATTACTTACTATGCGACTGCTATCACAAGTCGCAGATAGGATCGTTAGATTTTTTTCTATTGCATAACTTGAATTTCTAATTTGTGCAATGAGACAAAACAGTCAATTTTGACTAAAAGGTGTTCAAGTTATTAAGGAACAGGCTCACAGAATTGTTGTATCAATGTAAAAAGGTATTGTATACCGGTAATACCTTACCGCGGCTATCCAATATGCGTTACCATAAGCTCGATATGCAATGTATCAGTGCAAAAACTGTAGCAATTTCCCATAATCATATGAACCCAATTACTCTGTTTAAGCTCGTGTCCATTGTGTGCATCTGGCTCGTGGGTCTTCTCGGTGGTTTAATACCTGTATTATTGGCAGTAAAGCATACGAATTCTCCTCTTTTAAGTATTTTAAACGCTTTTTCGGGTGGTGTTTTCCTTGCCGGTGGTTTTTTTCATTTATTACATTCGGCTATTAAGAATCCAGCATTATGTAAATGGTCGACCGAGAATGATGGTCGATATGATTTTCCATATGCTGAAATGTTTAGTACATTGGGTTTTTTAAGTCTTTTACTATTAGAACAAGCTGCACAGACTCAAATGAACTCATCGAAAGACTCGACGATTAATAAATACATTCCAGCCAAGAGTGAAAATCATGAGGAAGAGCTTTATGGTGTTATGGAAAGTGATGATACTTATCTAGAGGATGTGGACAATGAAGGACTAAGTAACGTCCGATACAGTCATTCCGGTCACTCACACTTTGGTGGTGGTGATATTCCTAATGACCAAGATATAGGGTCATTAGCTGTGGCTATGGTACTGTTTCTCGCTCTTTCATTCCACTCAGTATTGGAGGGATTAGGTATTGGAGCACAGACAGAGACGGCGTGGGGTGTCTTTATGGCCATTATCATGCACAAGGGACTGGCAGCTTTTGCATTAAGCTCGGGACTTGTGCAGAGTGCCATGTCTATGACTCATGTCATGTTGTACATGGTCGTGTTCTCGTTCATGAGCATTATCGGTATTGTTGTGGGCTGGATCATTGCTGCCGACGAATCAGAGGATTCGGCTGCAGCGGGTATCTGTGTAGCCCTGGCTTCTGGAACGTTCATCTATGTGGCGGTCATGGAAGTTATCCCTCAGGAATTTCCACGACATAGTCACGATGGTGGCCATGAAGGACACGGCCACAAGCAGAAATCCAAAATGATGTTGAAAAAGTCCATTGCGCTAATGGCCGGCTATGCCATCTTCGGCCTGCTTGCCAAGTGGTCATGAAGTTGTGCTAGTCAACAATGCCGACGCATGACAGGAGACGCTAAGTTAGACAGTAAAGCAAGTGAATACACACTGATTTAAGACGCTTTCTTCTTGCAGCTTTAGCAAAGTCGCTACTTTACTCTTCTGCTTTCCTACTTTTCTTTTTTTCTTCTTCTGCTGCTTGCTTATGCTGCTAGTTGCTGGAAAAGCTCCGTTTTCGTTCCTCATGCGCGTCCTTCTGACCTCCAGTATCGCATCGCTGTTTGTACACGGCATTTTGTACATCTTCACGCTCAAAACTCACCACCGACTGACTGACATGATCAACGAGTCACAAAAACACACCGCTGGAATCATTGGTTTACGCATCAATGTGCAGGTTCTGCACGGCCTCGCCTAGTGACGTGTCGACGCCGTTGTTGCCTTCTGCAGCTTTGCTCGGAGATATCGCATCGCTATCATCACTGTGCGAGTGCAGACTGTCATCCAATCCATGGATGCCCTGGTGCGACTGGTGGTGGTACTCAATGCTCCCCATCTCATCTTCCTGACCACCGAGGCTGCTGCCGGAGCCACCGCCAAGGTAGTCGCTTCTCTGATGGATGCGCTTGTGCTGCACCTTAAGCCGCTTGGTACCGATCTGGAATCCGTTCATGCTAGCAATGGCCGCGTCGGCAGCGTCCGCACTGTCATAACTCACGAAGCCAAAGCCTTTGCTCTCGCTCGTAATCTTGTCCATATACACCTTGGCGCTGATAACAGTCCCAAACGGCGCAAATGCAGTCGCCAGATCAGCGTCCGTCAAGTCGTGTGGCAAGTGGTAAATGAACAGATTAGCGCCTGTAGGACCTTCGAGCTGGCTGGTCGTACGTGAAGCCTTGGCTTCCGCACTCTGGTTCGGCATGTCCATCCCAACAACCATGCCACTCGACTGCATGTCGAGGCCAGCACCACCACCTACATTCGGCATTCCGCCGAATCCGTACGGGCCAGCCGCGCCAGTAGCGAATCCATATGGATTGTAGTACATGAACGAGTTTGTGGGACTTCCCATGCCACCGGTCGATCCAACAGGCGAATTAAGACCAGCAATTGCCGGGTTCAATCCTGCAGCTGCCTGTACTCCGAAAGCCTGCATCTGTTGCATGTATTGCTGCTGCAACTGTTGCAGTTGCGGAAAAGCCATACCAGCTCCAGGAGGCAGCGGCCAGTAGGCGTTTGCCGCCGCTGCCAAATTCCGTGCGCGCTGGAGACGCTGTCGACGACTGTCAGCAAATTTCACCACAAGTGGCGACGTGCCACGATCCATGGTAACATTTCCATTAACTTGTTCAATAGCAGCAAGCGCTGACGAGCGTTCCTTGAATTTCAAAAAGGCACAACCTTTGCTTTGTCCTGTAGCGGGATGACGAAGGATATAGACTTCCTCAATGTTCCCAAAGAGCTCAAAGACCTCACGAATGGCAGATTCTTCGGCTGTTTTTGGAATCATACCGATAAACAACTTATGTTCCTGTGATGCACCTGCCTGTCCTTCAGCCGGTCGAACCTGCAATGGATTGATACTCTGAGGCAGTGTAATCTTATTATGCAGTTCCTGTACAGCTTTTTCAGCGGCATCACGTGTAAAGTACGAAGCAAAAGCACAACCACGATGGGCACCAGTGATCTTGTCTCGAATGATTACGAGATCTTCAAGTGGACCATAAACTTCAAGAACGGGACGTAGATCGTCTTCTTCCATTGTCCGAGGTACTTGACCGACAAAAAGTTTCACAGGTCCATCAATTGATTGGTCAGTGTAAGATTCCGAGAGATTCGAAGAGATGTCACTTGTGTTTTCGTTATACTGACAAGTATCCATTGTAAATTTAAAAGAGGGGGGAGAAGGAGGGATGACACAAGAGACGACGGAGAGGAGAAGGACGATGTTGACGCAACAGAATTACACAGACGAATTTTGGTTTTAAACTCTTAGTAATTATGAAACTACTTATATGACGAAAAAAAATAAAGATGCAGGTACCACAACCTTGGTACAATTCAATTGAATGAGTGTTTTTTTGGGATACGTTGTATTCTTTTGAAAAGGTTCGTGTAACTTTTATCTTGGTCGACGACATCGTTTGACAATCTGCAAATATGCACTAGTTTTTTATATTTTTGAAAAATTGTAGAAAATCTTGCTCGTTCCAACAATTTCAAGTGAAATTATTCCAGCTTAATAATAAGCTTGCCAATGTTCTTGCGAGCATACATGAAATCAATCGCCTCTGGAATACTTTCCAGACCGCGAAACTTTGTCGGGTCCACACCAGGATTTAGCTTTCCATCGGCCACTAGCTTCAGGAGACGTTCAATGTGGGAAGGAATGAACTCGGCGAATTGATGCAGAAAAAAACCGCGCACACTGGCCGATTTAAACAGCAACGTCGAGTTCAGCTCATTCACAAGCATCGGTTCAGCCGACTTGTCATCGTGGTACCCAGAGATAAAGCCAAACACGATCACGCGCGCGTGCGTGGCCAAATTGCTCGTCACAGCTTTAAACATGTCGCCACCTACACTCTCGAACACAAGGTCGACGCCGTTCGGATACTCCTCTTTCAGCACAGAGTCCACATCTTCCTTCATGTAATTGATGACACGGTCACAACCAATTTTCTTTAGGTGGTCCACTTTCTCGTCTGAGCTGCACGTGCCAATCACGTGGTTGTCCACAAGCTTAGCGAGCTGTACGGCGTACTGGCCAGTACCGCCAGCAGCAGCTGACACGAACACGGTCTCATGGGTCTTCATCTCTCCGACCTGCTCCAGCGCAATTGATGCCGAGACGCCACCGACTGTCATGGTGACGATTGCAGCTGACAGTTCCGGAGTCTTAATCAGGTTGACCGAGGGCACCTCCACGTACTCTGCAAAGGCCCCAAACTTCTGGTAAGCCACAGCGTCCCCCACCTTGATGTCAGGGACCCCTTCACCAACAGCAGTCACGATTCCGGCAGCCTCTAAACCGCAGCCGAACGGTGGCGATAGTGCGTGCATGTAGGCACCAGCTGCGAGGTTGATATCGGTGGCGTTGATGCCCAAAAAATGGTTTTTAACTACGACGTTGCCAGCGGCTGGGGTCGGAATATCAGCAACATCGACGATTTTGGTTGCAGCACGAAAATCTTTAGATTTGGTGTGTACTTGAACGGACTTGAAGGATGGCATGAGAATAGGTTGATACAATGGAAGACTTGATTTGATTTAAGCTTTTGGTCTTTGATTTTGAAATGACGTCGGTTGGGGGGAGGCTGAGAAAAATGGCTACACTAAAACAATGTTGATGAATCAATACACGAAGTACTTGTCGCTGGAATAACTGGATTACTATATGTTAACCTAAGATAGCTGGTACATGGATTTGTAATCGTTCTGCTCACGTCAACATTTGATGCTGGGTATTGTGGGTAGGCGTAAGTTTTCTAGATTGGTGAATTTGACAATTTTTTCAACGGTAAGTTTTTTTTTTACAACTGTAAGTGTTTTTTTAATGATATTGCGCTCGATCTTCTGTTTTCTTTGTGAAGTTAGCGTAGTGTTTATTTTCCAGATTTTAGAGAACGAGAGGCAGACGAGTTTTAAACCGTTTACGGGTTGCGGATGTCTGGTAGTGTCTACATGGGGCTGGCCACTTTCGGTGACACTCTCGGGTTTGTCCGGCTAAACGGATGCAGCGTAGCAGCAGACTGTAAAGCTGTTTATGTCCTTATAGACCCGTTGTATATTTTATACAATATTTCTTATATTATTTTACATAAGGGCGTTTTTAATCAACCACCTTTTGAATATTCATCAACCACCCCAGCTTTGTTAAAATCAGATTGGTCAAAATGCCAAATCGGTTTTTTTGGCATTTTAATTGATTAATTTTTATAGATTATAGAATTATGAAAAAATTACGGTTCTTATGGATTTTTGACTGGTGTTTGCTACTGGTGCTGATGTTTGACGACGACGGAGTTGAGCCCTGTTTGTTGGCGATGCCGATATTGTCGGCTTCAAACAAAAGCTTTTAAAGCAGCGGTAACATAACGAATCATATTAGCAAGTAATATATACTTAGTGTTATAGCATTTGCCCGGTGCAAGGCTGTTCATTGTCGTCTTAATTTTGCAATCGTTCTTGTTTGATGATTGGAAAAGGCTGGAAGGAATTCGTATTTACAACCTTTAGGCGTCTTCTCAGCGCAGAAATCAACATCATTCTAGCAAACATCGCGACATTAGTATCTGGAACGCATAGTAGCAGGATTGTATCAATGTGCTTCATTGAAATAAGCATCAAAATTGCACATTGCACATTGTCGACTATTGCAGTATATAACTCCCATCGACGTACTAAAATGTTCAACGGAAAATAAAACCCATAAGTTCTTTGTAACACGAGTCAAGTTCCAGTACGCTCGCGTTGCTTTTAGAATATTCTAACGTGGTGGGATATTCTAACGTGGTGGGAACTGGACGAGGATCATCCAGTATCTGCGTTGTGCTTTGGAATAGCAATCCAATTTCACATGCGCTAATTTTCTAGAGCAACATTTGATAAAATGGCTACAAAATGTTGTTGTGTATATGCTCGATGCACAGCGTATTGCCTTGTTGTTGGCAATGTGCTTGATAATCAGCGTTTGGAAAATGGATTTCTGTGACACTGCTGTTCAACACGTATTGAAGATTTAGCCTCACGCATTTGGCGGCTGTGCCTCTCTAGACGAAGAAACACAGCTCCCAAAAGACGTATCTTCATCATCGTACTCAGATGGACACTTGGACGAAAATTAACCAAGCTTTTTTTGCTCGACGTGAGACAAAACCTTTGCTTCATATATGCTTTACAGAAGATTAGCAGTGGAATTGAGATCTGTTTCGATCATTTTAAAATTTCCTTGTTGGGTGAACCAGGTTCTATCACGAAGCACGATGTTGGGACAATTCCAGCGAGTCGACGCGTCGGAAAAGAGTTTGTACTTGAGCCCCAATAAGCTTGCGCAAGACAATGCCTACGGAGAGCTCCCGTATTCGCCTGATCCTTTTCGTCAAGAGGAAGGGCCATTGCGAGACGGAGGGGTACCAAAGCTTTTCTCCACCGAATCATGTGGCTTGCTTGTGCAGTATGCCGCAGTAGGACTCATGATGGGAGCGCTACCGAGTGCAGTCACGCCGTTCTTGGGTTACTACCTAAATATGGAAGGTCAAGCCACCACATCAGCCCGCGCGTTGCTTGGTATCCCATGGTCTGCCAAAGTGTTCATTGGAATCATATCGGACTGTTTTCCTATCTGTGGCTTTCGTCGCCGACCGTACATGATCATCGGCTGGATGCTTTGCTCACTTTGTCTCGTCGCCATAACAGCACTTCCACTGGAGAAATCCTACTTTCCTGAGGCAGCGTGGCGAGAATTGAAGCCCGACGAGTACACAGCCGAGGAAATTGCTGCGATAAATTATCATGCCCCTGCTTCAGGAGGCAAGTACGTCGTGTTATTGATGCTCGCAACTTTAGGCTATGTAGTTGCGGACGTGGCAGCAGATGGCGTAGTCGTCGAGTACGCCCAGCGCGAACCTATCGCAATTAGAGGTCGGACACAGACCGTAATCTACACCGTGCGGACAATCTTCAGCATTTTCGGAGGTATTCTTGTGGGCTTTGGGCTCAGTTCACTGCCCTATGGCGGAGATTTTGCTTTCGGTATCAGTTTTCCTGTGTTTTCGCTCATACTGGCCGTGTGCTGCATTCCGGTGATTCCATTAACTTGGTACTTTGTCTTCGAGGTCCGGGTGCGTACTCCACAACTGCATCAATACATCAATCTTCTATGGGAAGCACTGCAGAGTCGTGCGCTCTACCAAGTCATCGCGTATAGCTTCTTCTCTGGAGTATTTGGTGGAATTGGTTACGTAGCTTCTGATCCTGTCACGATGTATTGGGCCCGTGCAACAAGCTTCAGTATTTCGGTCTCGCAGATCATCGGTTCATGTGTAACAGCCTTCACGCTAGCTTTCATGGGACGCCACGGGCTAGACTGGGACTGGCACCGTGTTATTGTCATCACCACAATAGTTGTAGTGGCGTTGGATTCAGTGTGTACAATGCTCACTACATGGGCTGTTGTGCGCAACCAGTGGTTCTGGCTCGGCTTGCCAATTGTGGAGACTATACCATCGAGTATGAACTTTATCGTCTCGAGCTTTGTGGTCGTAGAGCTGGCTGATAAAGGCAATGAAGCTGCCATTTATGGACTTCTGACGACAGTTGGCAACCTCAGCAATCCATTTTCGGCGACGCTCACCAAGACAATCGATGAGCCTTTTGCTGTTAGCAACCGAGATATTTTGAACGATTCACATGCCACACGCCGGGATGTCACGATCATCGTTCTCGTTTCTTACACCAGCAAATTGCTCTCGCTACTGTTTCTTGTCCTGCTTCCGAGACAAAAGGCGGAGACTCAAGCGTTAAAGCGCAGTGGCCATAGCAGTAAGCTACTTGGTATGATTACCATCGCGTACTGCATGTTCGCGTTGATCTGGTCACTTCTTATCAACTTGCTAGGAATCTTTAACAGCACGAGATGCCTCAAAATTGTTGGCGGGTGTTAAGATGGAGAATATCGATGCCATCAGGAAGAGTTTAAGTGAATGAAGGTAGAAAACACATTTTTCCTTAAGTACAGCCGATTCATTTAGTATCTCTAACAACCTGATACTGTCCTCTTCGGTAGGGCCTACACATCCCTGATCGATCATGGCTATCGTGCCACGCGACGGACGTTACTGCCGGATGATTTAAGTACTTCAAAACACATGACCGTATGAAACACGACCTCCACAGTCATTACCAATACTGAAACAAAGTTATTGTTTCGCCTCGCTCATGTGGCTGTTACGAAGTGGCACGGCTGCAAGGGTCATGCTTGACCTGCATGTCTGCCACTGGAGCAACCCGATCATGTATAGGTTTATGAGTTCTATATCTCAGCTAAACTGAAGTTGCAATGTAATTCTCGCATACGCATACCTACTACCTACAAGTTGCAGGCTAGATGTACAACAACTGATAGCACATATCGGACAACAGATCCTTTATTTTCGCTACATTTAAAGTGTACACTACAGGAGCATTGGACTACAATGCTGCTAACAGGGCAAATTGGAAGGACAAACGAGTTCGGTCGATACAAGTCCACCAGTTTACGCCGCCGAGCGAAGCTTGCGGTACGTGACTCCATTTCCAGCCCCAGCGTTCGCAGAGGCACTTGCTGTGGCGCTTGCCGACGCAGCCGCTGCACCACCAGTCGACGCACCTGCTGTACCGCCAGTTGACGTACCCGCACGGTAGCCGTAGCCGACATAACTCGGCGCACCATATCCGACACCGCCGTTGACACCTACGCCGACTCCACCGCCGACACCGGGGTAGCCGTAGCCGACATAACTCGGCGCACCATATCCGACACCGCCGTTGACACCGACACCAACACCGACACCGCCGTTGACACCGCCGCCAACAACCACACCCAAGCCATGGTTGTGGTAAAGGCCGACACCGCCGCCAACAACCACACCCAAGCCATGGTTGTGGTAACGGCCAAACGTCTCGGCGACTTCCTTCTCAGCGTGTATGCCACTGGATAACACCACGACGGCGATGCACACGGCGAAGATCTTGTTGCTGCTGAACATGGTTGGAGGTGCTATTTGGAGACTTGGGTCCGATAGAAAGCGAAAGAGCTTGCGTGTTGGACTTGAGTAATTGGAGCTCGAGGCCGTAAATGTGAGAATGAACACTCAGTGGCAGCGTGTCGCCTGGGCTAATGTTTGACTTGGTAATCTCGCGCACCATGTGCACGTCGACGGAGAAGAAGCCCAGTCGGTTGAAATGTCTGGTAATGGTTATCCCAGGATGGGACATGTGTTCCCTGTATAGTGCCAACACGGACGATGATCTCTCCTATCACTATGTCAAGTTTTCATACGATACTTGTACAGAAGAAGTTGCTGATATCTCTAAAACCAACGTGTTTGCAATGCTGTTCATCCGGCGGTCAACACGCATTCAAACGATGGAAATGTAATGTAATTGTGTTTGTTTGACAACCCATCTTTCCTAAACATCTCTTTGACTTGGGGAGTATACAAGATGTAGCACAGATAACGAACATTGCTGGTGCCCGTGTGCATTGTAATACATGTAACGCGTACTTCGGTCGTATCTCGGTCGTGATAGCTCAAGTAAGAACGGTATGTGTATCGAACTAATCACGAGAGCATTTGGGCTTTTATAATCAGTAAGCGATTGCTTTATGTTTCATAAGTCCGTCACCCGTCTGTCACCCGTCTGTCACCCGTCTGTTATTGTTTGTGCATGTTTGTGCATGTTTGCAACAAATTCATAGCTAAGATGATGTAGAGTCTACTACCATACTGTCCGCGCAAGAGGTCGTACAAAGTTTCGTTCCGGCTTTAAGTGACTCGACGCGATCGTTCTGAAGTACACACAGTAGTCTGTCCAAGCCGGTCACAATAGTTGACCATTTTTTTATGAAGAGGTCAACATCTGACAGCTAAAACTTATGGATGATGACCATTTACATCAACCACTTGCTTGCAATGATGATACGTCGGTTCACCTCATGTTGCGTATAGTCTTACCAAAAGCATCTTTTGATCATGCCTCTTGAGCTAGCCAAGGTAGAGAGACCGCTGCATCAGAATGTACAACCAGATCACACTAACCTTTATAGAGCAACCCTCTGTAAGAAGTATCCTTTGAGCGGCAAACAAGATGTTTATATGCAATCACTGTCTTGCTGGGTTTTTTCTGAAGTCATAGCGAGAACCGGAATCAGGTGTCGAACCTGACCGTGACTTGTGTTGGCATCTTGCACGAGCCCTGCACAAGCAACATTCATGTTCCTTTGCATATAGACGCCTGGTAGCTCATTGTTCTTTGGCGCTAAACATTGCAGTACTTCAAAACACATGACCGTATGAAACACGA